TTTAACTCTTACTTTCGGCTCCTTACGCCATTAGAACGCGCTATAATTTATACAAAAATAGATCGAGCTGACAGGCAGCCTACTTAAGCTCACAGCTCGTCCACAGATGGGGTCATTGGCCCTTCTCGCTCTGCCCGGCTTCGTTTAATAGACTTTCATGAACGGGCTGCTTCGCTTACCCGTCTGTATATTGCGTCATAATGCCTTCTGTCGGGTTCCCGGTGGAAGCGAATGTTCGGATATTCTCAAAGGCGCCGAAAGCAGTCCGCGCGAGTGAGTGCTCCACGGCATGTGGCGATGTGCGGTAATAAACTTTGTCTTCGCGGTTACCCTATTGTGCCACGCATCCATGCTGAAGACGACTCTAAAATACGAGGTCGTTATTCTGACCCTCTTTGCGTGGCGTATATTCCGCTCTGCTCCAAAATACCGCCCCTGCATAGGCGAGAATGGCTGGAAGCTGCTCGAGCCATACGTAACGAGCGTTTGGAAAATATTGAGAAATCAACAAGAAACGGTCTACGGAAATGGAACTTCGTTCGGTCTCGCATGGAACCGTTTAGGCTGCCAAGTTCCTCACATAGTTTTATACCATGCGGTCTCAAGATTCCCATTATTTTGTACGTTTTTGGAGCCAAAAGCACTTTTTAAGGCGACCACCTTAGACAATATTCACATTCATTGGCATTTCATGCTTAGTTCACGAAACGGTAGAAGGAAGACCTCCGTGAATGTTCCAAGACTGTGCCTATAGGTGATTACCCGAAGTATCCCTCTTGCATAGTATTCTGATCAAGAGCTTTTTCTAGCAGTTCCTTACTGCCTCCTTCTCAGCCACATTTATTAGGTATTACACGTCTGTATAAGTTTGTACAGCTTCAAAACGCAGTTTGCGTGATGCCAGCGTTTTTGTGTGTATCGCGCAATAGCAACGTTTTCTCGCGTGCGTCCGATCTAGTTCAGGGTCAAATAAAGATAAAATAGAAGATCTGCTTACTGCGAATGCCCCTAAAAAGTTAGTGCAAAACGGTCGTCGCGGAAATGGCACACTATGGCTGTTTTGCCCACCATCGTCGTCCATTACTCTTTCTCTTCCTGTTTTCTCTGCACCTGAGTAGAGTAGGAGGCTAGAGGAGGCTATCGCTCAGGCTTACCTCTCTGCCTTTCTGTAAATAAACTTGTCTCTCTTTCTCTCGTTCCTGGGCGACAGAAGTGAGAATCGGAAGCAATTAAAGGATACATTCCAATTGACGGCGAACATTCCGACTTCCTAGTACTGTAAACTCGTCACCACTGAGTCGGAGTTTTTGGCTTTGTCGAAAAATATACGTCAAAGAAGCATGCTTGACTGTTGTGCCTTGCGCCTTCCGGTGAAATGACTGTCTATCACTTATTTACGTCTGTTATAACTCTTGGGCGAAAGTGCTATAGCGGTTCACCGGTTCACAGTAGCAACATTTCTTAGGAAATATTGGCAGCATTAGCTTCAAGTAAGAAATGTATACCTGTGCTTGTCTGAACAACAAAGGGCACAACCGAATAAAATACCGAGTAGAAAATGGGTCTTTTTGTCGCACAACAAAAATCATCATCTACAATACGTTCCTTTACTTGCACTATCGCCATGCTCCCGACACTTTTTGGTAACGAACCACATGCGCGTTATCAGAGTTTTATAGGTTTCCAGATAGGAAAGTGACCAGCACCGAGTTTTCAAGAAAGGAAGTGCAAGCTAGCCGGATTACGATTATTGTTGCGGATGAAAAGACACCCTTTTCGCTCGATATTTTTGGGGAGTGACAAAAAAGTTTGAAAAATGAATTCTAAATGTGCCTTACACAAATCTGAGCTTTCAAGCACAGCTCTACACATTCAAGTCAGACAACCTAATTTTTACTTGAAGCACACGCGTCTGGTGTACTAAGCTTAGAATAATGATCCCATGTCTAAATATCCAATGCTGCATTTTTAATTCATGTCAGTTCCTATAAAAATTAGGAAAGCTTGAGGTGCGCACTATTATTTTATCTCGTGCAGCATGCCATTCTTTCACTTGCTACTTTTGCAACTAATTGATTTCACCCGACGTGCCACCTTTTTTTTTGATAGCATTAAGTTTATCTATCTATCTATCTATCTATCTATCTATCTATCTATCTATCTATCTATCTATCTATCTATCTATCTATATATCTATCTATCTATCTATCTATCTATCTATCTAGCCAACTACGACATTTAGCTCTCCTGGCCATTTAGATAGTGGCATCAATACCAAACTTGGTATGGCATAACATGACTGTATGAAAAACATATTTGACTGGTCATACCATGAAAATCATGATATGTATCTTATGAATGTCATTTGCATTTCATGGCCCTGCTGCTCTTGCGGTGGTTTCGTTCGCATGGCATGATGCAAAATTGGTATGGTATGGCATAATTGCATAACGAACGCAAGCGACAGACCCTGTTATAAAAATCATGACATGCGTGTCAAGTAACAACATAAATAAATGCCACGCTCATGATCCACTCGGGACCATTTCGCTAGCGTCACATATACCAAATTTGGTATTACACTACGTGAATGGAGGACGAAGGTATGTGACTGGTGCAAACGTGATAATCATGAGATGCGTGTCATGTTACAACATGACTACATACCATGCTCACGATGCGATCGCGCCCGTTTCGCCAGCGTCAAATATACCAAATTTTGTATAATGGGGCGTGAATGGATGACGAAGGTATGCGACTGGTGCAAACATGATAATCATACGATGCGTGTCATGTACCACATGACTACATACCATGCTCACGATGCGCTCGCGCCCGTTTCGCTAGCGTCACATACACCAAATTTGGTATTACGGGGCGTGAATGGATGACGAAGGTATGATACTGGTGCAAACATGATAAACACGAAATGCTTATCATGTAATAACATGACTACATGCTACGCTCATAATGTGCTCGCGGCTGTTTCACTAGCTTAGCATGTACAAAACTTCGTATTACACGACGCGAACGGACAACATAGGTAAATGACACATGCAAACATTATAATCACGACATCGTGTCATGTAACAACATGTCTACATGCCACACTGATGTTGCGCTCGCGGCCGTTTCGCTAACTTCGCATATGCCAAATTAGGTATTACGTGACGAGAATGGATGACGAAGGTATGTGACTGGTGCAAACATGATAATCATGAGATGTGGTCATGTGAGAACATGACTAGATGCCACAGTAAAGGCGCCAATACATTTCAACGTGACGTGGTGCGCGTGCTCACCTACGTTCTTTTCGTCGCGTCACGCCGGCGTTGCCACGCCAGGTGCTGGTCCTGCCATATACTCGCAGGCACGCGCCGCACTGCATTGCTTTGACGCATGCGCGTTTCAGCGCGTCCGGCGTCTCTCCGTCACGAAAAGAGGGAGACGCAGTGTTGCCTGAGTAACGCATCGGCGCGAAATGCAACATGTCGCATTTCGCGTCGGTTGCCGTCGGGTTGCACCGACGGACGTTGGTCGCGCCTTGCGTCAGACTATAGAGTGCTCGCGTTTTGCTAACGTAGCGTCGCTGTGCTCAGCGTGCGCGCGCTTCAACGCTACAATGAAGTATATTGGGCCCTTCATGATACGCTTGCGGCCGTTGCGCAAGCTCCACATGTACCAAATTTGGTGTTACGTGACGTCAAAGGATGACGAAATACATGTCTGGTGCAAACATGATAATTCTCAAGTGCGTGTCATGTAAGAACATGACAACAAACCACGCTCATAGTGTGCTCGTCGCCATTTAATATCACTACATATACTAAATTTTGTATCACGTGACGTGAATAGATAATGAAGGTAAACGACACGTCCAAACATCATAATAATGACACGGAAGTCGTGTTCTGCATCACTTACTTCTACCTCAAAATGCTGTGCTGATTTTAAAGTGGCATATCAACATTTCTCATTCGTGCCTCGCACATCATCGATTCCCACTGTACTTGGGATATGCCAACTTTTTCTTGTGTTGTTTTTTGCCAACATGTGATGACACGGGTTGACCGCGTGACAACTATCGTCCAAAGATTGCAAATCTCTCCTCCAAACAAAGGGGCGAATGCAAGCCTCCGAGACTCTCTTTCATTGCGCGGTGGGCAGTTTTGGAAGCCATGGGCCACTAATTGTAGTTTTTGTGATCTCGACTGAAGGCACTGTTTATGCAGGAAAAAAAAAATGCCATTGCATTTTTCTTGTCAGAGCAACGCCCAGCTACTACCGAGAAAGAACTATTCCTAGGTTACTTTTGTCGTATCAATCAGAAATCAATGCCTAGTTTACTCCCACAACGGGACAACGCTGTGATTTCTTAATAATGTGAAATTTACTTGTTACCGTAACGCATTGTTCGACAACCGCGAAATTGCGTTTCTTCACTCTCAGTCAAATAGTTCATACGTGTTTTTCGTACGTGCAGTGGCATCAAGCTGACTTCCGCCGATTTTAACAGCAGGGGGGGTGTGGGGTTGAGTCTATAGGTGCATAAATGCCCATGTTGCAATATTACGCTTTAGTTGCCAGGTAGGCTTGCATTAGGCGTCGCTGCCTTTGTCGTGGACGAAGCGACAGCCACACATTGAAACAGGGAAGGACGGTGGAGTGCGAGTTGGGCCTGAAATCACGGTGGATGTTTCAGGGGCTGCCGCACACCATGTACCATGCATCTCTATTCTACAGAAACGTATACACACACGCCCAGACCAAATCACAAATTATCTCGGCAAGTAACACAGGAAACTCAGGTAAACCACAGCTCCGCTGTTTCTGCGGAGTTTACATTGGTTTGAAGTGGGGTAATTTGTTGCCACGCTTTCTTTCTTGCTAGGAAGAGAACAAAGCAATGAAATTATCTTCATTTTGAAAACGAACAAACAATAGTGACTGCTTATGCCAGTGACATCCTGCTCTTTGTTCTGACGTTCTTCTCCTCCCAGGCTCCCCACTGAGGCACTTGTTCACCAACAAAATCCTAGAGCTTCAGGAGAACGGCACACTACATGCCTTGCGTCAGCGGTGGTGGTTCTCGACGCCCGACGTCGACGTGGGCGCTGACCGCCGCTGTAACCCGACAGCAGACGGCAGCAGCTCAGCGGCAGGAAGCGCAAGCGGGAGCAGAAGTGGCAACAAAGACGTCGTGGGCATCCGTGGTCTCCTGTTAGTCCTGGGCATTGGTTGCCTCGTGTCATTGGTGGTGGTAATCGCCGAGTGCCTCTGGAGCCTTCGATGTTCGTCGAAGAGGAGAAACCAGGTTGGCTGACGGATTGTTTCGTGGACGGAAACAAAACAGTTGGGAGTTTTAGAATAGTGCACAGCGGGCCCCTGCAGTGCGGTCGCTGCCACCGAGCATGCGTCGTACGCGAACAACCGTTCGCGTGCACAGCCCGCCCGCAAAAAATTTGAAACAGCAGGCGACGTGTGCGGCCCGCTTGTGGCCCGCAAACGCTAATGTCGAGGCTATGTGTTGTTTCCATGCACTTGAGTTTGAGGGGCAGCTAAAGTCCCTATACTGTTCCCTAGGAGGGGCAAACGTTATTCTGAATCTCATTTGGTGATCGCTATACCCGCCACGCCCGCAGTGCCTGCAAACGTTATTCTGAAACTCCCTAGTGTCGAAATATCAGGGATTGAGTAATCTAGTTAAACCCACCCACACCACTCTCTTGCGCTGTTTTCGCGTCTGTGCCTTGGTGGTATTGCGCCGTAAGCAAGTTCATGAATACACAGTCATAAAAGGTAAATAAAACTTTGATAAGCGTTGTGCGCTTTTCGGGATTACATTGATCATAAAATAGCTGCAGTTACCGAGTTTTACCAACATCAGATTTCTCAGTATTTAATGTAGCGCATATGGCTTCTCAGTTGACTCTCTGTGTCACATATTTTGTACTTCTCGATAGTGGACAAAACACTGAATAGGCCCCTTTATTTCTCTACATTTATGTCAAACCCTCCATAGTTCCTCGTCGTTACATTTTCCCCTGCTCTCACTGCACACTGGACCATGACGTGGGCACCGATATGATAACTTACACTGATACTTCCTGTGTAATCAAAGCTGAATCCATTTTAGATGCGGAAGCATCTTATACTCGCGCCTTGTAGTGCGCCGTTCGCGCCGTCCGCACCGCTTCTCGAACATTCGACAGCTGACGCGCGCGCATGCGCCGTCGCGCCGTCGCCCACCATCTGTGCCGCGCGCGCTTCTCCTTCGAGAACATTCGACAGCTGACAGCGCATGCGCCGTCGCGCCGTCGCCATCTGTGCCGCGCGCGCGCTTATCCTTCGAGAACATTCGACAGCTGACAGCGCATGCGCCGTCGCGCTGTATATATACTCAAGGTCGGCGCTCGCTCGCTCAGTTGCCGCTCGTCCGTTGGTTTGTACGGCGCGTCGACGTCCGAAGTCGCCGTGAAATGAATGCCAACGAATCCACAAACACAATGATCGACGTCCCTTCGACCAGCGCCGCCCTTTCGCATACGTGTGTACGTGTTCACTCATTTAACACCCCCTCCTACAACCACGTTAACCAATTTAGCCATCGACCCAAGTAAGTCGCAATTTAACACCCCATTTCACAACCACGTTATCCAATTTAGCCATCGACCCAAGTAAGTCGCACTTTAACACCCCGTTAACCAATTATATGCTCCGCATCCTCCTCAGTGTTCCCCCGGGGGAAGCTGCGGGCAATTTTTTTCATTACACTTTTAGGTAAATGTGCGTCAGAAAATCATTTCATATATGCAACATTAAAAAGAAGGAACTGGGCGCAATTCCAACAAAAATTTTTCATAGCAATCTCATATGAACGCAACCCCTTATGTGTCTCATGCTTGCATTTTCGTAAAGATTATGCACTTAAAAAACACGATCTCAAATGTCTGGCGAAACAAAAAGAAAAATTCGCCACCGCTAACATTTTCCCAGACAGTGTGCAAGAATATGTATATCTAGGCCGAATAACACGGGTGCAGCTGGAAGTTCTTTTGAGTGAGGGGGGCTGGGAAAAGGGGTTCAACCATATTTAGGTATGTTCGTGCGTACATGTATATATACGCACAAAACCTTGAAAATTTTTAGTGCCCCCAACTCCTTGTCTACACCAATGCCGAATGATATATTGCTATGTAGCTGACATATTCAGCGTACTGACATGAAGAAAAATCAGAGACTTTATTTGGAGTGACAGATTGGTTATCAAGGGGTGGAATACGTAGTTAAGGATGGCGTAGAGCGAAGAAATTAATAATTATAAAAGCAGAGAATTGAATCAGCTCATTGAAGGCAGCCTAAACTGTACATCATTGGAAAAGGCTCTTCGGCAGCAATAGATGTAATGTAGGCTAAAGATGGTGGTAATTTTGACGAAATGTCTACATTTCCAACTTTCATAGACATTTAAACACTGTGGTTGGCTCTGAAAAACTCGTGACTGTGAGGCCTGCTTGGGAATGTATGCAACACAACATTAATTGGTCGTGTATCAGTGATGTGATAAGAGTTCGAAAATCAGAAGTCGTATAGGTATTCTTACACTGACTCAATTATCTCTTATATAATACAGATATTGACTGGCACTATTCGGAACAAATGATCAATCACTTAAAACTATGGCGACACGGATCAACAAATATAGTTATTTTGCGTATGGAGATACAGCCACTCGTTTACTTCTGAATAACAGCGGGGCCCCCTCGTCCCGAGTGATCATACTGCCACCTGCACGTAACTGCACGTAACTGCACGTAACTGCACGTAACCTGCACGTAACTGGGACATGTTTATTTCTACCAGGAGGACAGGGTGCGTACGTGGTATCCGAATCGCGAGAAGCACTTGACGTCAAGGCATCAGTTCTGTTGTGGGCTTCACGGACAGATAGTTGAGATGTTTTTCATACATGTGGCTGGTGGCGTATGTGTGGCGAGGCCATCGGTGTAACCTTCATAAACTGGAGATAGATTATCTGACCACCAACTTGTAATCATAGGCATGTGTCTTCGCCTTCCCTTTATGTGTGTTTTTTGGAGAACTTCAGTTGCCAGTCTGCGCCTGTCTGTGCTTGCTCTCTTCTTTAGTTCTCGTCTTTTTGCGCAAAATGCCATCCACACAAAAAAGTTGCGTCAATGGGATTCGAATTTATATCGTGGTTCACAACAGCAGAGGCCGCGGCACTCCTCAACTACGCCACGATGATACCCTGAAGCCTTACAAACGTGCCTTTTATATCTGACGATATTCTCCCACAGTGGTCTTAGTCGGCGGGGTTGTGTTAGATTGGGGGAGTGGTAAAGTTAAGTATTTCACCGTTACAGTGGCCTCTTAAATTTGCCCTTCAAACGTGTCTTTCTTAATCGTCCATACCATTAGGCGTGCCTGAAATAGAAGTCCAGTTTTGTCAACGCCCTAAGAAACCACTAGGTGACGACCCTCGACCCATTCTCAACCGCACTTATAGCGTTCATCAAAAATCAAATAGCTCTACAATGTGCCTTTCCCATCTGACTGTAACACCACGTTCCCGTTTACACTCCCCTCGATAAAAATCATGGCCGGGCTGGAGAGGAGACATGGTCGACGCACAATGCATTTCCCTCTAGTCCGGCCGTAACGTTCAATAACACTTCAACAACATTGCTTATAAGAACCACGCAAGAGGCAAAGGCTGACAACAATACCAAACACAGCGATGTGTGTCTTAACTTCGTGCGCCCTTGTTTCTTTCTTGCTCTGTTCTTATGTTCAATTATGTCCTATAAACTTGCCCAAGTTTCCACGCTTCACTTTAACAGGTCGCGGAATGGCGACCTTAGCCCAAGTTTTGCGTTTAGCGAGTTATGTTCTTCTGGCTGTTACATTACTTTTCCTAATTATACGCTCATCGTCAACTACTACAGATACCACAAAGGTTTGTTTATTTATTCAACATAGACGTTGCTCATAGGGAGAAAAAAATAACACCAAGCGTCAAAATGGGTGTAATCGAGATAAACAGTGCTACAACTGCCGAACAACAGCATACATTGTATAAACTCTCAGAATACAGTAAAATAAACGTTCTATTACTTTTGTAAGGATACTACTTATTCTCGTTTTATACCAATTCCGATGACAGAGGAATAAACTACATATATTTTTCAACTTGTTCAATGTAACTCGTTACTGACATCGACACACCTTTCCGTTCTAGGGTCCCAGATGGAGAAAAACACGGCGAAGCATACCACCGAGCCTGTCTTTGCAGGAATCAAATCTCATCATCTTGGATCCTCCCAAGGAGTTTCAGGATAATCAAGAAAGCTGCCCAATGACGTCGTACAAATGCGAAACACTGACGTAGCAGCCGGTGCAGACAAACAGACTGGTGTTTAAAAAAAGGACATTGTGAAAATGTTGTTGACAGATATTTCGTGCTTTCTTGTCGACGCTTATAGTTAAAGGCCATTGTTAAACGAATTTGTATGCAGAATGGTTAAACATTGAATGAATGGCATTTTATGCTGCAAATATGGCCTGTGTTACACGTTTGCTCTATCTGAGACAAACTCTCCGCTGTAATTTCTTCGGTCTATTTTGCACGCGACACTTGGTGCTCCAAGCGAAATGACCTGATAACTGAAATTGATGAATTGGGTTTATTGAAGAGGATAACTGTGCCACGGACGGTGTTATTGCCGCATATGTTCTCTTTTTTGTGTGTGAATGAATACTTGAGTGTCTGTGCGTGCCCGTGGGTGCGCTCTATCTCTGTCAAACTCTGAATGGCACAACAGTGGTATTGTATATAAAGTGAAATGGGATTCCTATGGAAGCAGTTTGTATATATTAAGCACAGTTCTGAATACAAACATCTGTAAAATTATATGGTGCTGTGTATGGCGGAACAGACATATTAAGGTCCTTCGCCACTGTCACACAGACATGCTCACACATATTCACGCTAAGTCACACACAAGCACACAATTGAATGCTACGACATTTCATTAAAGGGGCCCTGCCACACTTTTTGAACATGGTCAAAAAACGCTGCCGATTGGTAGAAGATGCTCATGAAAACAAGCGAGCCAAATATTATAGCGCAACACGCTGCACGCCTGCAATTCACAATAAATTAGCAAAGTCAGCTAAAACTGCTTTCTCTTTTCTCGAGAAATGACGCAAGCTCGAAAATCACTCAAAAACGGCTTTCTATCAGCCAGTGGCTGATTTGAACATGGCGCATTCGGTCATTACAAGGATCGCCATGGGAGGCTG